GAGCTGAGGCCCAGCAGAGACCAGAGACCCTCTTTATCTCCCCCACCCCTCCCTCTTTGTTTTCAAACACTCAGCATTCCTTCCCTCTCCTCCCTCTCTAAAATTCCTTTTTACATCTTTACTGGAAAATAAAAGCATATCAATGCTTCAGCTCACTGATATATGTGTTTTGACAGTTTTATTAGGAGGTTGTTAACTGTCATGATTAAACTTCAGATAATTGAATGAATGTGTGATGTGTAGGCTGGATTTCCAGTTTTTTCTCTCTTTTAATTCCAATAAAACCAGCAGGGAGGAAAAAAAGAGGAATGCAGGAGTACTTGTGTTGTGCTATCACTATGGTTCATTGCCTTGTTTGGTGCAGTGATGACAGTGTGGTTTCATGCCTGAATAAGCAGTGTCCAGCAAGAACTCTGGAGTTTTTGAGAACAAGCGCTTTGAGTCAGAGGAATCTCTCTGACCAGGTTTCTGTCTTTTTTCTGTCTGTATATGTTGATCATGTTTCTTTTAAGGCTTTTTTCACTGTACTACATTTTGACTTGTCCCAGCAGGAAAAGCACAGGTGGAACTAATATCAGAGGGTGGTGGATAAAAATGTCATTCATTTGTACCCTATTTCTGGATCTATCAAAAGACACATCAGTTGTATGGCTAAAAATATATCTGTAATAGAAACTAGTTGGTTAAGATGTTGCGTTGCTATTCTCACAAAGTGCGCTGTGCCACAGGTGTCCATTCTTGGGACACTATTATTCCTCATTTCTATAAACAATTACCAGCATGTTTTTGTCCATAATATTTACAGATGGCACAATCTTGCTTCTCTCACACTCTAATTTCTCGTCATTTATCAAAAATGTTAACTCTGGTTCATCTGCGTATGCAAACAAACTGTCTCTAAATATTACAAAATCAAACTTTGCAATTATTTTCTGTGGAAAAGAAAACCCATTGTAAAAACTCATCAGACATCGTATTTGAGAATAACGAATGTCTCATTTTACTCAACTTACTCAAACGTTTGCTCCCCATCAGCTCCTCTCTTTCAATTTATAAATCTGATAATCCACTATTTATTATAAATGTTCCATAACGTTAACTCACCAAAGAATGCAACTAGTTTTGAATAATTTATATAATAACTAAGCATATGTGTTTAAGGCTGTATTACAAAATAACTCATGGTGTTATGTCACTGAATCCCATCATTCAAAATACTAAAGTACAAGTATTATATATAATTATATTATAATTTGTATTATTATTATTATTATTAACATAGTCCCCTTTTTGAATGGCAGATGTAACATAAAACCTTGTTAAAATTGTATTTTTTAATTGAATTATTTATCTTTAGCTTGCATTAGAGAGTAGACAGACATAACACTTCTATTCAAGTTTTCTGTCAAGTTGTCCATTTCCCAGTGTCAGGTAAAGCTAAACAGACTAAAATGAAAAAAGAGATGGCTGTGATAGATCAGGGTGAGCATGGGAGGTGGACTTTGACAAACTGGGTTAAATGTGAACAGACGAAAGTGGGACAAAGGTAAGAGGGTCTTGAAAAAGGACAGGAACTATCTGTATTTGTTGGACAAAGGTGAGGAAAACTAAGAGTTTGGCCACAGAGTGGGCGAGATAAATAGATCAATACTGGGAGTTCAACCAGTTTCCAGCATTGACATGAGCTGGATGACCTAGAAAAACTATCCATTCACACAAAAGACGTCACTACTTGTTGAATCCACGTAAGAAAAACTAGCTCAATTTGTACATACAGACATAAACAAACAGTGCAATGTTTTGTGTTTATCTCCATGTACTTGTTATCTGTGGGTGAATGTTGGTCAGTCTCCCACTTTGGTCCAGACTGAAATATCAACTGCTCAATGGAGTGCTCAATGTTATTTTGCACAAACATTAATGGCCTCAAGAGAAAGAAGTTTAATAACTTTTGATCCTCTGACTTTTCGTCCATTGACATCATCAGATCAAAATGTCATTTTGTCGAACACTTTGGTCATGACCAAATACCTGCAGAACGAATGACATTTTGATTAAGCTCAGAAAGGTAAACATTACATCTGCTAAACATCAGTATGGTAATTTTGTCATTTGGAGCATATTAGCATACTAAAGTTACAGCAGCTCAAAGCACAAGCACAAAGCTAATGGAGGGCATTTAGTCTGTCCAGTGATTGATCTAAGTCCCTGTTGCTAAATTCCAATAGCTGCCTCCTAATTTCTCTCACTTGCAGCTCATTTTGCATATACCTGCAGAACTAATTTCCCATCAGCCTCAGCCGCACTTTGTGTTTACTGTTAATAAGAAAATGTTAGCCCAACTTAGATGGTGATTATCATTAACATTACACCTGCTGAATATCAGATATCATCATATTGGTACTGTGGTATTGTGGTACTGTGAGCAGGTTAGGGTTAGGGTTCGGGTTGCTGACTTTAGCAGGCGACAGTCGCAGTCACATGTTGCGATCGTCATTTCCAGTGAGTGCGGTATGGCAGTGCTTGATTTGAGACAACACTTCCCTATCCAAACTCCAATTGAGACACAGGATAAGTCTTCTTCTTTTGTCAGTGTATTAAACAAGGGGAAAATTATAATCCCCTAACAGTGCAACAAATTCTTCAACAAGTTCACTTCAGTCAGAGTACATCAGTGAACTTACTGTCCCAAAAGGACCCTGAGATTTTCTGGGTTAGGCCTTTTAGCTGTTCCTGAATCCAGGGTAAAGTCAAGGGGTGAATGATCCTTTACTGTACTGGCTCTTCGGCTTTGGAGCAGTCATTCAGTTCATATTCAGTCTGCTGACACTTTTGACCTCATTTTTATAGACTCTGACTGCCAGACTCATTGTGTTTTTACCGTAAAGATGATTGTATATGTATATTTTTTGCTGTTGTGTGCATGTATTGTGCTGTTGTTTTTATATGCGTGGTTGTCTTTATGCTGTGTCTTTGTAGTAGTAGTAGTAGCAGTAATAGTAGTATTAAAGGTAATATGATGCTACAGCAGTTTGTCACAGTGATTGTGGAAGGTTGTTTTACCTGGTAACAGGCTTTTATTGCTAAAATAATCTGGAACATGCAGGATACCAAGTCTCACTGTGGTGAAGGAGCTTGTGTGTGAGTCACCTTGTTATCTTTTTGGGATCTTTTAAACCCAGACCAGTAGTCCTCATGGGGACCATAGTCTGGTCCTTGTGAGGCAAAACACCATGTCTGAGGTCCTGGTCAAGGTCACGGTTAGGGATTGGGTAAGGCTGTCCACAATTAACGTCTGTGTGTGTGTGTGTGTGTGTGTGTGTGTGTGTCAGAAGGAAATCCAGTCTCAGATAAACTTAAGTAATCGGGCAAGAGAGGGCTCTTATCTGTGTGTGTGTGTCTGTTACTTTAATAGGAGCATGTGTGTTGGACTCTGCACAGCTGTTTTTTTATGGTCTCAAAGTTTATGTGGCATTAATAGAAACTGTCCCTGTGACAATGTTGTTCTCAGGATGCTAAAATGACTGAGATCCCCTTGTGTGAGGAGAGAAGATTGTGAAAGCAGAAGGAGATCATCCCGGACACACAAACACTGTTTTCACTCACAGCACGCATCCCTAACACCCAGAATCTCCTGCTGAAACCTCCCCAAAGCAAAACCTGCTTCTCATTCGCAGATTCTACTGTGGTTCCCATCCCCCTCAGTTTTTTCTTCTCTTTAGCCCCCCCCTTCCTTCCATTGGCTCTGAAGTCTGTGGTGAAGCAAAAAAAAAACAAAAAAAACAGGAGTGTGTGTCCCCAACTGTTTATTGTCTTGAGCCCTGTGAATAGACAGAGACACCCATTAGCCAAACAGCTCGGCCTTCCCTGTCTGTTGCAGGGTGTGGGGCCAGATAAATATTGTGGAGAAAATCAGCTGCCTGGTTGGAGATGATCCTACTGAAGCGAGCTAAATTGTGGGTATCTCACTAGTCCCGTCCTGATGTGGGATATAAAGACAATTCACTCATTACAGACACACAAAAGTTCTTCTTCCTCCCATTTTAACTCATCCAGACTCAACTCTGCCGCTGTCGTCCCCCTTTTCTTCTTCCTCATCCTCATTAGCAGAAACAGACTGAATATTCCAATTAGGGACTGTCACATCGCTGTGCCAAAAGCATCCTCACATGCTGTCAGCTGGAAACATTTGACAGAAGATGGCGGTGGCTGCAGTAATGAAACAAAAGCACATTATACAGGTAGAGCCGCTCCAGACGCTCAGATCATTTCCCAAGCGAGGAGCAAAGAGTTTGAACTTTTTCTGTGAGTAAACAGGGGTAGGTCCGATTGTATTTACTGTTACAGGGTTGAGAGCATGTGATTTCTTTTTTTAGTGGAGCATGAGGATGGAATGTTAATTTAATGTCCTGTGCTTTAGCTTGAGAGTGACTTGTTGTATGCTGCAGGTGGGAGTGTACAACAGGGGAAAAGACCTAAAAAAATATATAATATCCAAGCCCATATTCATTTGGCAGAAAAAATATGTTTTACATTTTTATATTCTTGTGAAAATGAGCAGAGGTGGTGTTTACAAACTTTTGAATAGGTGAGATCCAGACTAGGACACAGATTTAAGGGGTGAGGGGTACAGTCGGGAAATGAGTAAAAATGACCCAAATTTAACGCCCTGGTTCATGGCAATAATAAACTATACATTAATAGTACAATTTTTATTCAGTGTGATAAGTGAATGCCAAATTAACAGTTTTAAATATTCTAATATGAACCATATCTGGTCTCGCCTCCGAAAATAAAGAAGCATTGACTAACAGTTGTTTTTTTCACTGTTGGGGAGGGGCGGGAAGGTTACTGTAAATGTTTCCTCTTTATTCTGTTCATCTAAAAGGAACAACAAACATTTTCCTATACAGTACATACAGTACTTTTATTTTTGAGGCACTGGCTACAGTAACAGATACTGATAAAAAGGGAAACAGAGTGCGGGATGCAGGTGCAAATAATGTTTTCAAAACTCTTTTAATCTGATGTTCATGTGCTGTCCATATCAGCAGCACAGCTGGTCTTGCCCTGTAGGTGTGTCGCATCTGTGTTGCTGTCATTTCTCCTCTTCACAGGTCATGCAACAGTTTGTCATCTTGCTTGCACAGAAGAAGAGGGAGAGAAAGATGGATTTAAACACTATATTTTTGACCTGTGTTGACCTTACATGGAGCAGGTTGTGGACACAGAAAACTGAGGAAACTGCATAATATGATGAAATTAAAAAAGAATACCCTGACAAAAAAAAAAAAAAAGGTCAGAAGTTTATGGAGTTTCCCAAGATTGTGTCTGTGCCAGAGAAGTGTTGCTTCAACTGCAGTTTTGAGGCTGGGAGTGTGAGGAGTGAGGAGTGCATTTTATTGAAAGACAGCAGTGTTATATTCCTCCTCATTTCCTGAGACCTTCAAATGCTTCTCGTTATTGTTCCAGATCTAGATGTAGATACAATGATGATAAAGTCTCTTTGGGTCCTAGACTTGGAAATGACTTGACTTCAGGGCAGCGTGCACTGTTACTGAATTCTTTGTACAGTTTACAAAGATAGCAAAAATGATAACTTACCACCTTTATCATACTTATTATATATGATAATTATAAGTTTCAGACATACAGATTCTTCGATTAATAGTTCTTTATGACATCAGTCATAATAATGTTAAAAATGTTTATTAAAGGAATTATTTTCTTCCATACCTATAACTGTTGTTGACTAGCCTGTGCAATAAACTTTAGCTAAGCGTACCTCTTCGTCCCTCCACACGCACGTGCATACTCTCAGATTCCTCCACTGCTGCTCAAAGCAGGAGGTCTGTCGTGCGCATGCGCAGTGGTCACAGAGCCATCCCCACATCCAGGGGTAGACTGGTGTGTGTGATTGCCTTAGCTGCTGCTATTCAACGTGGAGCCATTATCACGACCAAGGGCACCCGGGAGACACTCACCCCGCCGAACCGAGCCTCCAGCGAACCCAGCGGACCCAGCGGAGTAGTCGCAGTAAGTGAACGAGTGAACAGTGGACTAACCGTCCACGGCGTGGTGTGTCGAGACAAAGAGGCTGCGGCTGAATAAAACGGCTCTTTTTTTCGGTCCACATCTCAACTTGCGCTGAATGAACAGTCAAGTTGTAAATTAGCCCGGTCCGCGCCTCCATTATTATTAGCTGTACGTGTGCCCCAGCTTATCCTCTCTGCTTCCGCTGTCGTTAATGTTTCATTTCAATATCACAGAGCGCACATGATTAAAACACCCGGCTTCATAGGGCAGTTTTGAACCGACGTGGTTTCATTCACTGTGGCGTGATGCTGGCGCTATTTTTACATTCACACGTAAAATCGGTGAGGCTGCCCTGTCGCATCTGACCAGCCTGATGCTGTTTGACAGCCCGTCGCTCCGGGCATGGACGGATTGTGACACAATGGGGTCCAGGGCTCCGGCATGTAAGGGTTCCCCAACCGCCCCCCCTACACAGGAGAAAGACACCCAGACTGAAAGAGACACAAAATGACATGTGTAGTTGTTTTGCAGCTGCACCAGGACTCAGTGATGTTATTTTTTTGTGGTTCTTTGTAGTTGTTTTACGTCCCTATATAAAAATACATATATGACCACTTATAGTTATTTTTATGTCTCTTTGTAGCTGTGTAGCATCACTGTGGTCTGGACATTGCATGTTTTTGTAGTCATTTTGCATTTCTGTTTGTTTCATGCCTCCCTGTATTTGTTTTGTGTCACTGTGGCTATTTTGCATCCCTTTGTACTTGTTGTATGTGTCTTTGTAGTTGTTTTGTGTCTTTTTGTGGTCATCTTTTATTAAACGTTCCAACATAAAACGTGAAATCTTGCAACATGCAGTGGCTCTGTCCCAAGGGCCTAAAGAGTAAGGGCAGGGGGCCCCTGGGTATGCCCACTCAGTAATCCATCCATTGCTGCAGGTCACGGAGTGGGGTTGACACACAGAGTAGAGTGGGGGATCTTGAGCCATAGCTGTGATTTCCAGTGGGTGCAGCAGTGCATTTGACCGCGGCCTAATGTGTGATCTATTCTGCACACAGAGCTGAATGAGTTTCACATGGTGGCTCTTTGAGGGCCAGGGCTCAATGGAAAGATCACACGACAGCCACACGTGCTGCCTCCCATGCAATCCCCATTGTCCTAAAACAACCAGAGCTGCTTGTTGTCTATTAATAAGTGTGTAACCAGGGGATATTCTCTTAGTGTGGTGCAGAAAGCGAGTGAATGCTATGTCATTTTCCGTTTGCGGTGGCAGGGTGACCTGTAGAAAGACAAGTATATTACCTGGTGTCATGTTGAAGTTTCCTTTGGTGAGTGCACGAATGTACCAGCTTCAGTGGTGTTGTCCTCTGAAATCTGACCTCTCCAGAGGACTGACAGTTGAATATTTCCCTCTGGGTGTCAGTAAAACATCATTTGTAAAATGCTGGAGCAGATGAATCAATGTGTAAAGTCAATTTCTAGCCCTTAATGATTTATTTATTGTAGGATTTCAGACCTAAGTGTCTCATGTAATGAGATACTGTTTTAAAAGGCTCCCATTTACTTGCTTCTTTATGCTTTAACCACACATTACTGCCCTCTGGTGCTGGCTCATTTGGTTAGTGGTGCTGTTCTGAAACTAACATATCCACTTGCTGTTTCCTTGTGTTTTCATATTCCCGACAAGTTCTGGCAATCAAGGCTGCAGATTCACAAGTACATTGTGCAATCTTCACTGTTACTGTTTACCTAATCTTTATTGTTACGACTTGTCACTGATGAGGATATGCCAGGAAAAGTTCAGACGCTGCACTCTCATTAATGCTGACTTGTTTCTTTCCTTGCCTATTACTATTTGTGTGAGTGTTGGCTGGTATCCATAGCACTAGGCAGTAGTATGACCTGTGCTATCTGGAATTTATGAGCAGAGAATTGTGACCTTATAATTTAAGAAATATATTACGTGGATGTTTGTTTAACATTCATGGTGCATCAGTGAGACGTCGTGTGTGTTGCTTTTCTTTTTTACTGTACGTGTGTGTGACGGGAAACATGGTACTGATTAGGAGGGAATGTCACAAGTAGAATCAGATGCGTGGCGCGCATATGTCTGAATATGTTCATCTCCAGTTCATAGGAAAATGAATTCAAAAGCTAACCAGGCACATTTCACTGTTTGACAGATAACATTGGGTCTGGGGGAATGAGAACAAGCTTTCAAACTATATTCATGGTAGATTGGCTTTAAACACATGTCTATATTGGGGAGGGGCTGGTTTACACTCGAGCAAGGGCTCGGTATCATTCAAACCTTTTCAGTATCAGTACTACTGATATCGATACCTTGACTTGATACCAATTCTTAACAATACTTTTTTCGATACCAATTTTATCGAATTTAGTATAACTAAAAGAAAATTACTACACACATTATGGTACAAATTTTAGTTTTACATACTCTGTACACGCTCATATGTGTTGGTGTAAATAAACAGCCAACCACCAGCGTTATTAGATCTTGGTCCAAGCATGCTTATTGGCTCACTGACGCTGATCAGATTTACTCATTCACTTCCTAGGTAGTGAAACTTGGTATCAACTGACAAGGGATTTTTTTAATCTCGATAGTGTCAAACTGATTCGGTCGGTTCATAACACTATTGAAGTTTGATACCAAGCCATAACTAGAGCTAAAACAGTTAGTCAGTTAAGTGATGAGTTGAGTCGTGAGCAGAAAAGTAATCAACAACAATTTACAATCAAATAAAAGTCATATTTTTTCAGCAGAAATGCAAAATATGCACTGGCTCCAAATGATCCTTTGCTTGTTTCCTTGATGTTCTATCATTGTAAGATGAAAACTTTTGGGTTCTGGATAAAACAGGCTGTTTGAATATGTCAACTCAGGTTTTAGGAAATATTTGTGGCATTTTTCTCTGTTTCATGATATTTTGTTGACCAAACAATTAATGGGACAATGGAGAAAATAATCCTCTGACCAATAGATATTGAAGTGGAATAGATGAAGTGCAATTGACATTTCTCTTCAATCATATTTCCATATTCTATGTTTGCCGTGAGAAACAGATCTTACGTCTGTGTGCAGGCACGCTTGCACAAGCTTTTGGGACAAACAAGTTTGTCACATGGCCACGAGGCATAACTAACATATTAAATCTGTTTCCCTGAGCCTGTTCCTTCGTGTGTGGCCATGTGTGTGTGTTTGTTTGTGTGCATGCACAGGTCACGCACAACTGCACATTTTCGAACAAGCAAGGATTTGGGTGTATGGGCGTACAGTGTTCTCAGGATTACAGACGTGTGGGAGAGAAGGATATACTGTATGGGGACACATCAACGTTAGTTCATGCCTATGAGGTTTAAGTGGTCATTAGTGTTAAGCTGTCAAGTATTACTCAGCCTTTTGGCTGGAGAGAACAAATTTATAATGCAAGAGCCCGGCAGAAGCTGAGAGTTTGCAAAACAGGCATTAAGTAATGTCCTATCATTCATCATGTCTTTTATTACCTGGTGTTTATTAAAGTTTAGTTTTTGTGGTGAAGATATTTCGCAGTCATGATGACTCTAAAAATTACACTCACTCATTCATGGCAGGAAAGAAAAGAACCCTTGCTAACCCCGTCTTCCTTCCTTCCCTCCCCTTCCCTGTTGTCACAAGTTTTCAATGAGCTTCAGTGTCCTGTCTTTTTTGTGCACTATTTGGAAAATTTGGGAAATCCAGCAGGTCAGACAGAGACAGAGCATCTTAATCATAGCTGTGACAGTGTTTCTCCTGGAGATGGACCCTCTAATGGCTGGGTCAGTCAGTTAACAAAGAAAAAGTATTAACCACTCAGTATAAACTTGGCCACATGTGTATTTGTTGTAAAATTTGTAACATTTCCGCTGCTGAAACTATTATTTGTTGTTTAAGTGATTTCAGGTAACTCCAGCCCCTGAACACACTTTGGTAAAGGGAGCGTTTGTTACTGCAGAATGAATGGCCTCATTGATAACTCCTTCAGGAGTTGTCCTGCTTTACTGGTACACACACACACACACACACACACACACACACACACACCTAACTACACTCCAGCAGAGAGCAGTGACACCTCAGGGGACATGGCAGCATAAATCCGTTCCCTCTGGTGAAGCCTGCTTCCCATTAAGAGCCAGCTCCAAACTGGATATCACATTCCTCCTCTGTCTCTTTTCCACTTTAACTGGTCCAGCTGATGTCTGTTCTGGCTGTGTCACATAAAACTCCCAAAAAATGTCTACATCGTGCTGTGCTCCAGGGTGCCTCCAGGTAAATGAGCGCCTACACTGGACATTCTTGAAGCAAAGTAATTTTGCTATGGATGTTAACCTGCCCATTTTCACACAGTACATAATGTTTGCAATGATAAAAGTGACAGATTTATAACTGAAAATTCATAGTAGTGTGTGTTTGAGACCATGGATCCTTGACATCTCACACATGTTGACGAAAACAGGCGTCTCATTTCTTGGTGAATGATTGTATCGGCTGAAATGACAACTTTCCGGATTCAAATAAAATGAGCTTAATGGTTATTTGATAGTGTTTTCAACCAACTCATGAAGCAATTTTGTTGATTTGATTTTATTGTTGAGGACATTTTTGACATATTTGTTGTATGTTTATTTATTTATTATTATTGTTATTATTATTATTTACCACAGGTGGATAGCAGATGTATTATTTGCAAAATAAAAGTATTAATAAAACAGCAACAGAAACACACGACATTAAGACACAGACAAAATAAAAATCAGACTCATTTCATTATGTCATAACCTTGTTTGGGTGCCTACTGCGATATACACTATATCACACAATAATGTGATACGTTACTGTTGTCTTTTTTTCTTAACCTTTCCAAAAACCAAAAACAGATCACCCTCCAAATTCTTTAACTGCCGAGTATCGATCTTCTATGATTACCTAGCTATGTTTGTAAAGCTGTTTGACGAATGGTCAATTAAATTTAGGAACACAGTCAAAATAATAAATAAACACAAAATAAAACTTTTCACATTCTTTGTGTGAAATGCCATGTTGTCTGTTTCTTTGGAAGCATTAGCACATCTTGTCCTGAGAGTGCTGCTAAAATGGGCCTCACTATGGCCTACCTCCCCACCCTGTTCATTCCCCATGAGTTATTGTGAGGGCCATTTTTTTCTGTGTCAGCTTTGTCCTTCAATGACCTTTCTGTTCCCAAGTTCACAGACAGCTCCTGGTCTTAAGTCAGTCCCAGACAAGGTTGCATGTTGGTCAAATAGACCAATGGTTTAAAGCTAGGTATAAGGACATTGCATTCACTTCTGCATCTTGGATGGTTCCCTTGGTGACTGTTGTCCAGTTAAGCTGTGTGTATGAGGTTGTCTAGTTAAAGGAGTTATTTGCCTTTATTTAAGAAGATCTGGTAATTCTGTGAGACATAAAAAGAGATCGCAGTGTCTGTCTGTGTTATAGTGTTTAGGGCAAATTTACAGCCTCCCTACCATTCAGTCACATCCCCTTTGCTAAGTTAAGCTAAGTTCAAATATCAACCACAGTCTTGGCCATCAGTGAAGACACTGGTCGACTGTCAATGCTTTACATGTCAGCCGCTTTTTAAAAAAAACTCTTCACAGCAACAGTTACCAGCCGGTATATAGACAAACCAGAACGTCGGGTTTGTTCCAGATGAAGGAAAACCTAATTCAAAATCCCACTGGCATCTTTAACTACGCTAATAGCTAAAAATCCAGCCTTGGATCAGAGCCTGTCTCAACAGTATGTCGTGACGCTCAGTTCATGTGTTGCAATGAACACAGAGACGAGCTAACAGTGTTGAAGTTTATACACATTGAAGATTACAACTAGAAAAATTGAAAAAATGAAATGAAATGAAAAATTAGAGAGCATTGGTGAGTTTTATGGATGATGAAAGTAATCATTGTCTAACTGTTAAAGTCACAAAGGTCTCAAGTTTCTAACAGCTGCTGTATTGAAGCGGATTTGTCTTAGAATATAGACAGTAACTCCCAGGAACACGCTTCATTTTTTTTAGGAATGAATGAGAGATTGTGTTGAGTTACAGACGGACATCTTGACTTTGGTTCTCTGTAGACTTTAAAATGAGAGCATGTAACTACAGTTTCATGGGTTCTGGACAAATGCAAGATGTAATATCTTGGCATTAACACGGATGAAAACAGCTGCAGCACACTGGTGTGGAAAGTCTGGTGGAAAGATAGAGGGACACTGAAGAAACACTCTGAGCAGTGAGAGGGTGGGGGTGTCAGTAGTCGGGGGGCTGGGGTGGGTGGTGATGTGAGTCTGGGTTTGAAAGCATTTTTTGAATTTGTGAAGAGGGAGTGTGCGAGCTGAAGAGGGGTGTTAAGTTGCTCTCTAAGATAGAATAAGTGTAGATTTGGCACAAAGATTCACTTGGACTTAAGGATAAAGTGATTGGATTTTGGTGGTCAAAGGTCAAGGTTACTGTGACCACCCATCCATCTCAGTCTTGTGAACGCAATATATCAGAAATGTCTGGAGGGAATATCATTACATCTGTCACAAATGTCAACTTGGGCTCAAAGATGAACTGATTAGAATCTTGAAGGTCACAAGCCACATTTTTGGCCGTAACTCAAAAATGAATTTGCTAATTATGACAGATTAACATTAACGCTAATGTCTAATAGGATAAAATAACAAAGTGATGGTATTTTATATCTAAAATGTCAAAGGTCATCTTCACTGTAACATCATAAGGTTCTGCAGAAACACTTTTCCATTATACAACGCTGTAACTCAGGAACAGAACGCGAGACCATATTTCACATTTGGTCCGACACTGAACTGGTGACACTAATCTTGGTTCCCACCTTGAAACCGTGGTGACTGTATAGATCTTTTGTGATGCTGCATTGAAGACTTGTGTGAAGCAGCCATGTTTTAGAATGTGTAGCTCCTTTGCACCAACCTCCGTATTTGAAGCGTCGTCTACTATCATGGCTACAACTTTGTTCTCTGTCAGAATCAGATTTATTGCCAAGCATGTAAACACATACAAGGAATTTTACTACTGTTTTTCGTTTCTCTTAATGAGCTTACACACTCATACCGTAGACGTACAGCAGAAGAACGCCAACAAAGCTTAACAAAGGCAAGGCAAAAACTTTTAATTAGATTCCTTCCAAGTCTTCACTACACATGGTATGAGTGCAGACAGATGTGGATGTAAACTGAAACTTTACTGGTGAGCGGAGGCGTACAACTGCAATGCGGTAATTCTAGTTTCATTCTCGTTGTCACACTTGAATACACCATAATACAATGGACACATTATGATCATTTATGGTTCAGATTTCTCCTCTTAGAAACCTTTAACCGCGTGGTTGCATTGCAGTTATTGTCTTCCTGATCTGGTCCTTGTTCTGGTTCAGCAGGACATTAATGCAACAGTGACTTAAAAAGATACTACATGATTTCCTTATGTCAACTAAAAAAGAGGTCACCTGAATATGCATGATCAGACCGCCAACACCAGCTTCCTTCCTTTCTTCTGGCAGGCAGCACATTGCTTTGGTGCCGTAGCAAAGAGCATGCTTTGTTTGATTTGTGATTTTCCATTCATTAAACTCCAAACGGTAGTGAAGAGTGAAAGTGAAGAGAGGCAATAAAATATGTAAAAACAATAATTGGGAAATAAAACAATATAAATAAAGCATGTATCAAACATTACCAAAGGCCAAGACAAAGCTGCAATTCTTTTTAAGAAGAGATTTAAAGGAAGTTCATGAGTTACACGTCTGATCCAATCACTGATCAGAGAACATCTGCCAACAAAAACAAGTCCCAACACAGTTGTCAGTTGTCAGTTATTACTGGGAAGTGTACATTGGATTAACTCAACTCAACTCAGTACCAGTTCCAAAAGTATATTGTGTGTTTTAAATCTGGGCCTTGTCCCGAGGGCTCCATGTCAAAGCTAAAGGAGGGCTGGCTGCAGCGTTACGCCTATAGTCATCACATTCCCTCCTCAGTACAGGAAGACCATACCGCGAACGACGTCAGCACCTGATGCTTAGCGTACTGCTGGTTCAGTCAGCAGTGATGTGTCGGTTGCCTCTCTGGGATTTGTTTCTGTTGCTAGATGTTCTCTGATCAGAGATTTGATCAGCAGCAGATTAAGTCACATGTTTGTTTTCCCCTTTAACAGCGTAACAGATCAGAGCAGAGCTTCAGTGACAGCCCGAGTAAGAAATGGAAGAGTGTTTGCACAAGCATGTGACAGTATGCATGGCTGTGTGTTAGTGAGGTCAGCAAGGTGTAGGATGGGCTATGTGGTAAACAGCTCTGTGAGCAACATGAGAGGGCCAGCATGAGAGTCTTTGCCAGTCCTACTCTGTGGCCCCTGGATGACCTGTTGCAATACGTAATTTACTCTGTTCTAAGGTCATTATACATTAAATCCCAGGGCCGCAGAGTGTGAGCTACTATGACATTTACTTAGATTTAATGGCCACCCTCCAGAATTTCAAGGATGGTCAGTTGCTCGTCCCGCCTGTAGGATAACATGAAGCTTCTGGACTGGGCTTAGGGTTGAATAACTGTTAGGAGGTTTTGTGACTTGGCTTTCTGACCAAGGGCACTTACATTTTCTGCTGAATACACATGCCACACATTGACCGTCGGAGTTGATTTCCATGGCGATGCTGTGGTGTGAAGGGTCTGAGCTCCCGATTACCCACCAGACGTGAAGACCGGCCAACTCAAAGTATGTTATTTCATGACTGATGGGGTTCACCTGGAGGTTGGTGCTGTGTCTTAGCCAGCTGTTTGGTTGCTAATGTGGATGGGTGGTATCTGATATCATCAGCGCAGACAAGTAAAGAGGAAGTGGAATTGCCTGTATGCTCTGGGTGTGCTGACTGTTTGGTTTCTGACGTCACCCGTCTGTTTGTTGATACTAAGTGCTACACATATTTGCATTCGTTGACTATAGTCAGACGTCACGGTACACAAAATAACTGACAGAGAAAACACCTCTTTGATAGGATGAATGAAAAGAAGGAAGACTTGAGACTTACCTACCCTGGTCCTGTTAATGTTGCCCCTCCGTTCCTGTCAGCCACAGTCTCCCTCCCTCCCAGCATTTATATGGAGCTCCTCTTACCTGTCGTTCCTCGGTCATCCACCGGACGCCCTCAGACTTTCCCAAGTGTCCAAGTCACCTGACCTTCCCGGCCCACTCACGCTCCTGCTAGTATCTAAACCTGCCCGCTTCACCTGTCACCTGCCGGATCGTGTGTTGTTCATGCAGTGGTCTCCTGTTTTTGCTACTGTCACTGCTCCTGCCGGCCTATCTGTGTCTGTATTTAGTTCTCTCTGCCTGAGTTATGATTTTTCACATCATTAAAATCATGATTTAAATGGACTTACCAGAGAAATTTGGTTATATTTTACAATATTCATATTTAGGAGTATAACACTTTTAATAGTTTGTTTTTGCTGTTTAGCTCACTAGAGTAACCCTGTGTGAGTTCTTGTGTTTTCCTGGGTTAAAGCCTCAAATTCTGTTGAATTATATCTTTCTTTTCTGATTTTCCATCAGATTCATGGGATCTGAATCAAACTTTTTGCAGTCATCATGACTCAGTCTGCAGTAATGCATTGTGAGTGTGCCAATTGTGAATTTGTGTGTGTGTGTGTGTGTGTGTGTGTGTGCGTGCGTGTGCACAGAAGTTCAAGTCCAGCTATGTACTAAATCATCAGGTCAAATTATTTTTGTGTAGGTAGAACTGGATGGTGTTGGTCTGAATGCAATGGCTTCTATCTTTAGGAACCACAGCAGGTGCACAGAGCACAGATCTGTTTCAGTGTATGTAGAAATGTAACCCGTCTGCTACGCACATTACATGGCGTGTCACATGTTGGCAGACCAGCAGAGATGTGTTAAGGTTTTATTTCCACCAACTCATCTTCCCCCATGAGCGTCTTGAATTGCTGCTCAAGCAGTGATGTGATAACTCACCACACGTGAGTGACACTGACCACATACCACCACTGACTTACACAAACCTCATGCCAAAGCAACATGTGGGTCGACTGGTATGTCTGGGTATGTCAGTCAAATCAAAAAGCATGTTTCTTAATGAATTCAGCATTCTTATCTACACACTGTTGGCAGATTGTTAAGGTAAACCTGGCTAAAACTAACTACAGGCCTGCAAAAAAAACCCATTATTGCACAGATTGAAAATGTGCTTTCAAAAACTGGTGAAATTTACAATGCCCTTAGAGTCAGGTGGGATTTGTTGAGACGAGCAGAGGAAAGCTAATGACGTCGCTTGACAAACACCAGGCTGCAGTTAGTTATATAATCAGCAGCTGAATACAAGTTTATCCCAAATATGGTCGCATTGAGTTGTTTTGTTTAAATGCAGATATTGTCAATAAAGTTGTTGTACCTGCATCACTGACTGAGCAGTGAGTTATTTTACTGAAGAACATGGAGCTCCTCCAAAATATCCTGCGACTGAATCCACTATATATCACACAGCTTTGTCTGGGAAGAACCCTGATAATGTTTCTCACCAGTTACTTGTTTGTGTTGGCTCTGTTGGTTTATGCTGGGCAGCAGTCACAGCTTCCTTGCTGGGTTAGGGTTAATATAGTTTTAATTCAGTATTGGTGAGTGTTGTATGACTCAACTCAAAAGTCCATATACATGCAGAAAAAAATAAAAGCCGCATAGCACTGGAGAGGAGTGTGGTTATTCTCTGTTTCTGTTAGTGACTCTTTAATATTAAGCAGTAATTTAATTGAGTATTAGTATTAATAAAATGGATATCACTTAATCCAGGTCTAAGTCTAGATGATGATTTTCATAGTGTACAGGAATGAACTGAAACTAAATGAAGGAAGGAAATGCAAAACAACCGTATGATATCGCTGCTTTCATATCATCAGATCCGTCCTGCAACTAGAGACAAATATACTTAAATGTCAGGGGACAAAAGCAGAGCTGCAGGCAGGCAAATTTAAAACGTTCCTTCTGTATGTATCTTCGTGCATACATGTTTCAGACAGGCATGTGTGTTAATCCCTAAAAATGGTTTCAAAACAGGCAGCAGACGGAAGTGAAAGCCATGCAGTTTAAAGTATGTGAAATGAGCATCAGCAGCCCGAGCTGTCTCGGCGCAATGTGACCACAGAGATGAGTTAACCAGTTACTGTAACAGGCTGCTGACGGTGTAATGATTGGTGGAGCATGGTTGTTTACAGCACGATCCAGGCTAAATGCCATGTAGGGCAGCATGACGCCTAGCTGTTCATTAGTTAATACAAGGACATATTGTTTTCCTGTTTCACCCCAGCAAGTTTTTCTTTTCCCTGCAGACATTGATTCAGTAATGTAAAAAGTCCAGTCTTTGGCTCCTTGTTTTTTTGTCACTAACATAGCTTTACTGAGCTTTTCTTCAAATATACAGAAGCATACCCACACAGTACCCACACGCAAAGTCCCAGTGCAGTTTATAGATTTGTAGTCTAGAGCCAATTTAAGGCAAATGGCCCAAACAGTAGCAAAGATGATGTCAGGCCATAAATAGCTCAGTTATTTGTTGCCTAAATTGAAAAGAGGACATTTAGATGGAGGCATTCAATGAAGAAGCGCAGGGTTGTGTTGAGCTGGAAACGTACGTCAGTGATTATTTAATCAAATGCTACAGTGAGTTCAGCGTTAGACAGAAAACAGTTTGGTTACCAGCTGCTTGGAAGAGCACGCTGTGAGGTGAGGTGAGGCCGAGCTGTCAGTCAGGCAGTCGTTGGCCTTCAGGGGCTGTTTGTGTTATTTTTACAATCACTTTGCTCACCGCCATTTATTTTTAGTGAGTTCTGCCACCGACTGAGCAAACTTGATTGATCTTCAACCGAATTTCCTGGTTGCAGTTGGGATAGTGTTTTACATGAGTGTGATTAGATTGCTGAATTCTTCAAGAAGTGGTTCATAAAGCTCCTGTCTAATGTGGGTCAGTACCAGCAATCTGTCACTTTTTATTCGACAGCCCAACATTCATTTGAACTTGGGGGGGGGGGGTTGAACTGTAGTGACCTGTTCAGATTCAAAATGATTTTATAAATCTGGGTGTTGGATTGGGACTGGGACTGTGGCTCAGGAGGAAGAGCCGGTCGTCCACTAATCTGAAAATCGGCAGATCAGTTCTTGGCTCTTGGTCAGTGGCCACTTGGCTTGGTCAAGATGCTGAACCCCGAACTGCCCCGTTATGTACACATCCATACACTGATGTTACTGATTTGTGAGTGTGGTGGAAAAGCTGATGAATGTATGAATGTGTGTGATGAATGGGTGAATGGAACTTGTAAAGCTGCCCATACATTTTAGAAAAGCACCAAATAAGTGCAGTCCATTTACCATTTACAGCGTGTGCAGGTATTTTGTTGTATGAATTGAAAATTCAGCTTCATGTTAGAAATAAACAAATAGCGAGAGCCTCTGCAAACTTCTCTTGTGAGCAGAGTCAAAGCCTGAAGGCTCTTTGATAAATTGCAAGTTTGTTGGTGCTGAATGCACCACAAAAACATTACAAGGGCTTTAAGGAGACTGGGCCTATTACATAATGTTGAGGCCCATCTTGTAAAGCAGTCTAGAGCTAATTACCAACTAATGCATACACAATGCACAGAGTGGGAGAAACATAGGGATCAGGAGGGGAGCGGATCCAGACCTGAGTAGAGCTGCAAGGATTAGTCAGCCTAAAAAAAATGAATAAGCAGCTATATTGATAATTGATAAATGTTTTATGTAGATGAGGATGTTTTGTTAAGAAAATTTTTATTTTATAGGCCAAACCAAAATAAACAATACTGAAAACATTCATCAGTTACAGTCCACCTTGTGCAGTCAGTGCTGTTCTGTTTTAGTGAAGCCAGCACCAACATACAACATTTACTGATGGATATTGATGCAACAGAAGATATTTAGACACGTTACATTAGGAAAAACACAGATGTACATAATAAAGTAAAAAGATGTTTGAATGGCATTTATCTGCTTCAGTTTCAGGGTCCTGGTATTGTGCATGCTGGCTCTGTTCCTACTGGCTGACTTGTATAAAACTGAACCTTCCTTAGTGTTTTTCTGGTGTGACAAGTCAAAATGTCTGCAGTGAAAAAAGGCCAGTTTCAGTACTGATACGGAGACTGCACTTTGATTGACACCATTGAGTAAAACGCATATTTAACTATGGGAAGTTAAGTTTTCCCACTGTGCTCAGTGTTTTTGTCTGTTTCTGCACCTACAACAGTTAAACTTAAGATCTCACACCAAAGTTCTCATGGTCTAACGCTTGTGTTTGGGTCTGTAAGGTAAACATGTCTACTCCTTGTCCACTGCTGGTATGTTGGCGTGCAGCCCGGAACAGATGCTCTTTCACACCATGACAGGACCTGGTGTTGCCATTTAAGAAATGATCACAAACATAAATATTTAGTTTCCTTCTTCCATATTTTTCTGTGTCAGTCTCAGTAGATAAAATGCCTGCCCGCCATCTATGTTGATTTTAATCATCTCTCTGCTCTGTTCCCCCGCAGGTATTCAGTCCTGATCCCAGTTCAGCTGGTCCAGCCCTCTCCAGTCCTCTGAAGCTCAGCTGTCGTCCAGCAGAGGCATTCGACTTCTTCTTCTTCTTCTTCTTCTTCTTCTTCTTCTTCTTCTTCTTCTTCTTCCTCCTTGCGAGCAAACATGCCTCCAACGGTGGGTGGGCCAGTAGGGTACACTCCTCCTGAAGGTGGCTGGGGCTGGGCTGTGGTGGTGGGAGCCTTCATCTCCATTGGCTTCTCCTATGCCTTCCCCAAATCCATCACAGTGTTCTTCAAAGAGATAGAGGTCATCTTCAATGCCACGCCCAGTCAGGTGTCCTGGATCTCCTCCATCATGCTGGCTGTCATGTACGCTGGAGGTGAGTGGCGTGTGTGTGTGTGTAATTTAATTCATTTTTTGTGTAGTGCTACAGAAAACATTTGTCTGTTGTGTCACTGTTCATTTATTCATATTCCTCCATTTTTTGGGAGATTCAGCAGGTAGATATTTTGCTTTAGAGCAACATAAACCAGTGTTGTTTTTTTTATCAGTCTCCATGATGCACAGAGTTGTGTGTCCTCCTCTCTTGGTCGATAAATCGTGCAGACACTGGCACACAGGGAGCATATTTAACAGACAACAGTTGATTAGCTACAGCTGAGTAAACTTTGCCAGTCATTAAAAAATCAATGGTAGCCACTTAAACCTTCCACTTCCTGCAGCTCATTATAACACTGTTAGTTATGTAAGTAATAATTGAGATCGCTGCTCTTTCAAATCTGCAGCATCACATCCAACCAGAGGCTGATGAAAGTGAAAGAAAGCTTAAAGATTTGTTATATTACAGGAGTAAACTGGCACTTAACCTGAGCTGTGTGACATTATGCACGTACAGGGAAAACAAAACAAAAAAAAAACAAGAGCTGGATTCATTCATTGTAGGTTTTGAAGCCAGTTTTGCTCTGAGCTGTTACACAAACACGCACATGTAGGTGGTGTGTGTTGTCTGTACACTGGGTGTTTCTGGCCAATAAACAGTGACTGCAAAAACACACACATTAGGTCAACACTGAAGCGTTTAATTTAACCTCAAGTCTTTTTCATGTTTTATTGTTTTATAAAATCTGACTGACACTTGACATTCGTGCACTTTTAGTCACTGGTTGACTGAAAAAACACTCTTTAATGTAAAAGTGAAGACGAATCTTTGCAAACAGAGACCTTAATTCAATATTTGATGGCGGCACCTCTGACAACATTTACATCCTTGACTCTATTACCAAGAGGTTTACACTGATGAGCTGAAACATTAGGACCGATCCTGCGTAGTATACTGTTGGTTCTTCTCGTGCCACGTAAACTGCTCCAACCTGCTGTGACCAGACCTCGGAGGGGTGCCCTGTGGTGTCTGGCATGAAGACGTTAGCAGCAGAGCCGTTACATCCTGTTCAAGTTGTAAGGTGGAGCTACTCCCACCCAGTCATGTGGCCATAATAACTTGGCCTTTGTCAAAGTCTCTGCGGTCTTTACACCTGACCATCTCTCCAGCGTCTAACATGTTGGCTCCATGAACCAGTACAAGATAATCAATTAAAGTAATTTGCTTCATCTGTGAGGGGTCATAATGTTTTGGCACATAGAAGTACTGTATATTGGCTTTAGGGCTGCGGCTAACAGCTCCTGGAGAATAGTTTTATGTAATAATTGTGACACCAAAACAAACTCAGAGGCCATACAGCTTGTAGCATAACAATAAAAGCAGGAGGGAAAAGTTGAGGCAGAATTATACATTTTATACGTTGTAAAAGGATGGAGTGTAACACAGTGGGTTGTAAACTCTGCAGACTAAGCTGTTTAAATCCTTTCTCTTACTGGTGTTCAGGCCTGGTTGTAGTGTTTCCTTCCCCTGTTAGTTAGTAAGTGAAACACAGTTGCCAGACGAGGATTTGTTGATATTTACGTCTGCGTAACTCGTACTATTTTAAGACTGCTCTTTTTGTCAGGGCTTGAGCATGACTTTTCTTTGGGAGGTTCTATCCTCCTCGTTTTTCCCCCTTCACTGAGGCAAAACAAAAGCAAACCAGAAAAAAAACCCCCCCTTTTTTTTTTTTTTTTTTTTTTTTCCTCGCTCCTTACACTCTTATGCTCTCCTCTCCTCCACTATCAGTCCCACATCTCTTCCATTCATTCAGTGCTTTCTCACAGCTCAGAAAAGACTCTGGGCCGGAGACAATATGGGAAATGGATACTTTGGAGAGCTTGCAAGAGAGATATGAAAACAAGAAGATATTTGTTCTGCTGTAATCTGACTAAAGCTGCTGGAGAAAAATGGCAGAGAGCACACATTGAATTAATGACTTAATTGCAGGGTTTACAGTTTGCTTTAGCAGAAGGTGTGGAAACACAATTAAAACAAAATACAAAGGAGAAAAAAAACTGAACCTGCAGTTACTTTATGATGAGCTTCTGGTGTGTTTTGGTTCCTCATGGCAAATGTTATGTTACCGCTTTGGTTGTAACATCTCTGTTTTTGAAATTTGTTTTTTCTTGCAAAACTGTAATTGCTCTCTATTTCCTCATTTTCCCTATAACATCTCTGTCTTATGTACATTATATTAGTGTAATTAGAAACCCTAAAGAGATGAGTTTAGTAAGTTTACTTTGCTTAAAATAATATTTTTTAAGCAAAACCACCGACCATTCTCTGGTTGCATCTTCTCTAATGATGGGATTGTAAACTGAACGTCTTTGGGCTGTTGGTTGGACAAAACGAGTCCACCATGGCCTCTTTTCCTCAGTTTTATGACATTGGGTAGACTAAATGATTAATCAAGAAAATGATCTGTAGATTCATCAATAATTAGCATGATTATTGAAATGCCATTAGAGCCATGAATACCAAATTTCATTACAAGCCATAATATAGCTGTGAAGATATTTCATTAAAAACCACCAAATGTGAACCTGTAGGTGGCGCTAGCGGAAACGTCAGCGCCATGAAGCGGCCATGAACGTATGTACGAAATTTCATGTCAATCTTTCCAGTGGTTTTTGAGATATTCCAGTGTGGGCCAGAGAGGGGAGTCTGCAATGCTGCTTTCACTGAACAACTAGCTGCACGAATGTGAGGCACATTGCATGATTTCAAAACCAGTTGCACGTAATGACCCCTTTTAATTAGCACTGCTGCAACAAAGACTTTTCCATTTACATGTTAAGGCAGGAAGAAAGAGGGAGAGACTGATCCAGTTTCAGGTTAGGTCAGGGTAGGTTTCAGTTCAGGTTTCTCTTTCTATCTCAAGACACAAAGCAAGTTCTCTCCTCACTCTCTCTGCCCCGGTGTGTTTACCAAGCCGACCCCGCTCATTTAGACGCCATCATCTCGTTTTGTCTCTGTTGTGTCTGTGTCCTCAGTTTAACTCTCCGTCTCTAGAAATGGTTTCTCTTCCTTCCACTTACTCATTCATCCTCTTCAAAGCTGTGCGCCAGCCCGGAGTCGTATTCAGTCGGTTTAGGCATTTAGTAGAGAGGGAACTGCCGGGGGAGGAACAGGGTGGAGGAGTGGAGAGAAGTTGCATAACAGGAGCCAGATGTTGAAGTAGTTTCTTTTTTTATTTTCCTCTTGCTTCACAAGTCATTCTTAACAAGCATTATGGCTGCTCGCACTGTAGGACGAGGAAAGTTGTCAGACTTATTAAAGGAACCTGGGCATCAATTATCGTATTACTCACTCGCTGGTTACACACGGGGCAAAGCACGTACACACACAGACTAAAAAAAAACCAAAAAAAAAAACCACATTCATCGTGGTTGGATTACAGCTTACTAATAGTGTGAACCAGTTCATGCACATGATGGTCTGCACGTAGGTAAAGGAGGAAGAAGATGAGAGAAGAGAGTCCAGCTTTTACAGGAACCATTAAAATGAGCTGATTGAGGATTTTTTTTTTTTTTTGAAACATGAAACACACAGAAGATAAAGGAGGAGTGTTGATTTTAGCTGTCAATGTGCAATGGCAAGAAAAAGTATGTGGTCCCTCTGGAATCACCTGGTTTTCTGCATTGATTGGTCATAAAATACGATCTGATCATCATCTAAGTCACAAGTACAGACAAGCACAGTGTGTTCAAGCTAATATCACACAAACATTTATAATCTGTAGTGTCTTCATTGAACAGCCATCACAGTGCTGATGGAAAAAGTAAAGTGAACCTTTGGATTTAAAATCCTTTGGCAGCAAAAACCTCAAACCAGCTCTTCCAGTAGCTGCTGGTCAGACCTGCACTCTGTTCAGGAGGAAGTTTGGACCGTTCTTCCCTTTAGAGCTGCTTCAGCTCAGACATATTCTCAATATGTCTGGTGTGAGCGTTTCTCATCAGGTCATTCCACAGCATCTCCACTGGCTTAAGGTGGATTTTCTCCGTCTGAAGTCATTCTGTAGTACATTTACTCTGATGTTTAGGGTTATTGTCCTTCTGCATCACCCAGCTTCTCCTGAGCTTCAGCAGGTGAAGCCGACCTGACATTATCCCGTAAGAGACCTTGTTAAACTTGGGAATATATTTTCCTCTGAATGATGAGAAGCTGTCCAGGCCCAGAGGCAGCAAAGCCCCAAATCATGATGCTCCCTCTACTGTGCTTCATCTTTGGGATGATGTTTTCCTGTTGATTTGCAGTGGCCTTCTTACACCATACATAGGGCCCTTTCAGCTTAATACAAATCAGCAGGTCTTCTGAAATCGACTTTGGAGGCATGATTCACATCAGCGGATGTTTCTCAAGCTAAAAATGTTCAAGTGTTTTTTTTTTTTTTTTTCATTTTTATCAGTCAGAGCAGCTCTAACCCAAACCTCCATTCTGGTTCCATCCCTGACTCCAGTTAGTTTCTGTTAAAGCCATTAGCCGAGGGGTTCACATACTGTTTCCAGCCCACACTGTGAATGTTTGAATAATGTTTTCAATATGGACAAGAACAATACAATGATGTGTGTTAATCGTTAAAATAGATCGGAGCAGATCCGGTTATATGGGCAGATCCAGGAATTTTTCTTTCCTAAACATTGCAAGATAGGGCGTTTTCCCACATTTTTGTCAATTTCTCAGAAAGTAATGTGTTTATCTTGATGTAAAAAAACAAAACAAAAAACAGACATATTAATGGTGTTGAGATCTATGTCTTAGCACAGTTTGGTGCAGATCCAGATAATAATCTGGTTTTCACAGACGTGTAGGATTGTTTGGCCTTGGCAAAGGTAAATGCTCTACTGAGTACCATTCTAGTTTAAGGTATGTTACCCAACAGAAGAGTGAATTGTGTAAAACAGACATTCGGTAATGGTCTTTTAACATTCCCCATGTCTTTTATGTCTTGGTTTGCA